CAGACGCGGAAGATGATTACGGATTTTGCAATTGGGTTGAACACCGAAAACCGTTGATCCCAGGAGGACAATGCAAGCCAATCCTCAGACGAATCCCACAGAACACACTGGTGGAGATACAGAAGCAGGTGACCGAGATGGAATCGAAAGGAATCATCAGGCGAACGCACAGCCCGTATTCATCACCCCGTGCTATTGACGAAGAAGGCCGACGGAACCTATCGATTTTGCATCGATTTCATGAGAACTAAACAGGGTGACGGTGAAGGATGCATTCCCGATGCCTCAGATGGAAGAAATTTTTCTCAAGCCTTCACAGTGCGAAGCAGATATCTCTGATTGATCTCCGCTCGGGATATTGGCAACTGCCGATCGCAGAAGAAGATCGCCACAAGACGGCTTTCAGTGTCAATGGCCAGCAGTATGAGTTTTTGAGAATGCCGTTTGGATTGTGCAACGCCCCGGCTACATTCAGGCGTTTGTTGCTGATGGTCCTCGCGAACCTGCAAGGCGTGGTTGTGTACGGTGATGACATCATCGTCTTCTCTGAGACGGAACAGGAACATGTGACCAGACTTGGAGCAGTACTGCAGAGGCTAGATGAAGCTGGTCTGAAACTCAGTCGTAAAAAGTCGCAGATTGCCCAAAAGTCAATTGTATGCTTGGGTCACATCGTGGGCAATGGTCAAGTCCATCCACTTCCGGAGAAACGCGAGACGATCAAGTGCTTCGCAAAACCAAAATCCAAGCGTCAGCTCCGTTCGTTCTTGGGAGTGGTGGCATATGATTCAAAGTTTGTGCCCCAGTTCGCAGAGAAGGTCAGCCCGTTGTTAAAGCTGCTTCGCAAGGACGTGCCCTTCGTGTGGACAGCTGAAGCGGATCAGGCCTTTGACCATCTAAAGGCATGCATAGCAGAAGCCCCGACATGTCTACGGCTACCCAATCCTGGTGAGAGGTTCACTGTGGCTGTCGACGCAAGCAACGTGGCAATCGGTGCGGTTTTGTCTCAACCGGCTGGGGTGGTGGAGTACGCGAGCAGAGTGCTGACGGGGGCGGAACAGAAGTATTCAACAACGGAGAAAGAATGCTTGGCCATCGTGTGGGCGTTAGAGAAGTGGAGAAATTACTTACTGGCGAATGAATTCCGGGTCGTCACTGACCACAAACCGCTCTCGTGGTTGATGACGGCGAAAGACCCGCGGGGACGGCTTGCGCGATGGGCCTACCGATTGCAGGAATTCAACTTCACCATTGAGCACGTGGATGGAACGCAGAATGTATTGCCAGATATGTTGTCACGCCCGTGTTTGGACGACATCATGCCAGACCATGCTATACCGGTGCGTGCGTTCGCGATGGGAGGAGAGGAACCTGCTGGGAGATCAAAGGACAGATGAATTCATGAATGTGTTGTGCTCTCACTTACGGGCTGGCACCAAACCGGAGGCTACATCGGAGGAGGTGGAGGAACTCCTCAAGATCTGGGACAGGTTGAAGGTCGAAAACGATAACGTGGTGGTGGCGATAGACGGACGGAAAGTGCCTTTTGTTCCACCAAATCAGCGAGAACGTGTGATGCGCATAACTCATGATGGCGCCCATATGGGATTCGAGCGGGTCTTTGAATTGCTGCGGAGGCGAGTGTTTTGGCCAACCATGAGGAAGGACGTCGCGGCATACCTTCGGGAGTGCCCAAACTGCCAAACGAGTCGGGAGATGGAGTCCCCGAGACCGCCGATGCGATCGATGGAGGTTGGTGAGCCACTTCAGTGTTGGGGACTGGACGTCTTTGGGCCCTTACCAGTGAGTCGAACAGGAAACAGATACATTCTAGTGATGATTGACCACTTCACTCGATGGGTGGAAGCCATACCAATCAAGGACCAAACAGGCGAGACAGTGTCGCAAGTATTCGAATTCAATGTGCCTGCAAGGTATGGGATCCCACAGTGTATCATCACGGACCAAGGGCCCTGCTTCGAGTCAAGAGCGTTTAAGTCAGTGTTGGACAAGTGGGGCATCCAGAGACGGCGAACTTCACCGTACCACCCACAAACCAACGGGATGACCGAGCGGTTCAACCGGACATTGAAGACGTGGATAAACTGCACGAAGTTGGCATGGGAAGATGCTTTGCCTCAAGTTCTGATCGCGTATCGGACCAGCATGCAATCAACCACCAAGGTCTCGCCATTCGAATTACTGTTCGGCAGAGAACCACGGATTGCGCTCGATACTTGCCTACCGAACCAGGGTGAGTGGAAACATCCAGCTGAGCATCAAGAGCGACTGCGATGGAAAGCTAGAAGCGAAACCAAAGCTCGACAAGCGCGGAATAAGCGAAATTACGACGCCAGGCATGAGGCTCACAAGTGGAGGCCATTCAGGATTGGAGAACGGGTCAAGTTACGGAACAACGATCGGCCGGATCATGACGGGCCGGGCGCAAGCAAGTTCAGAGAACGCTGGAAAGGCCCCTACACCATTATCGACCAGAAAGCGGGCAACTTCTTAATCGACTGCGGAGGAATGAAACGTTGGGTGAATGCTGCTCTCCTGCGACCATGGTACGAGAGGAAGAAAGGTCCTGGAGGAGGGGCGGGTGTAGAGGGGCCGCTTCCAAGAATGGCTCTGGGGAGCTCTTCGGAGCTAGCTGAGAGCGGATCGCGAAAGACGGCTAGCGACGAGCCTGGGCCCGGAACTACGGAGCGGGAACATGTGGACAGCGCAATAAATCAGACAAATACGCCGCTAGCGCAGCCCACAGCACCGAGGCCGAGCCGATTGACACAGCCCCGAACAAGCAAGTCGAGAGCTCTCGAACGACTCCTGGCCGATCCAAATCGGGTGCAGAGAAGCGGAGATCGAGGCGAAAACAGGAAGGCGGATCTTCCAAGTCAGAGCTCCCGAGGCGAAAGGACTGGCTCGTCTCTAACATCCGCACCTGTGTTGCGTTGTGGGACGGAAACCTAGTCGATATTCAGTCACATGACGCTGGAGGGGCCATTGTTGTGAACTACTTGGACTTGTTCAAGACATTCGATCATTTAGTTCATCGGATTCTCCTTTCCAAGCTCCAATAGTACGCGATGGGTAACCCTCTCTTGAGCTGGATCGCCAATTTTCTCCTGCAAGGGACGTTAGTAGTCAGAGTCCGCGGCACCTTATCTGAACCCAAACTAGTCGAGTCTGATGCGACTCAGAGCTCAGTTCTAGACCGATCATTGTTTTTGATATTCATTAAGGATTTTGCGCGGACAATCGCTTCAGATTTCCTGTTGTTTGCTGACGATAGCAAGATATGGCGCTGAATTCAGACAGATACCGATCGGAAATTACTTCAGTGTGATCTGGATATGGTACATGATTGGTCAACCCGAAAGCTGCTACAGTTCAACGTGGACACATGCAAAGTACTTTCCATACAACACAAAATACCTAGTCCTACAAACTAGGAACCCAAGTACTGCAGCGATCATCCTTCGAATGCGACCTTGGCGTGTTTGCTCAGGATAACTTGGGTTGTTCCAAACAATCCGTAAAAGCACGGAAAGCTGGTAACCAACACGTCGGCTTGCTACGACGGGCATTCGGACAACTAGACACCAGTATTTTCAGGGAGATGCTGAATGTGTAAGTTCGCCTCCAAGTCGAATATGACATCCAACCCTAGCATCCACGGCTGAAGCACGACCTTATTGCACTGGACCAACCTCAACGTTGGGCTTCCAAATACGTCACTGGAATGCACCACCTTCAATACCAGCAGAGGCTTAAACGTTTGGGAGTATTCAGCGGACGGTAACGCCGACTACGAGGCGACTTGCTTATGGCGTACTTGATATTAGATAATCCAAATATTGTGTTGGCACTCTTTACTGCAACTCAGCAGTAACAACAAACTTAGTGACCACTGCTTGAAATTAGCAGAACAGTCGTATACCGTGCCGTAGAAATTTCTTTCCCATTTGTGTGTGTCAACCTAGGAACATTCTCGCTGAATCGGTTCTTTCTTCATTCACGCTAGCCATCTTTAAAAGTCGGTTGGATGAGGCACTCTGCCACTTACATTTTGTTACTTAACGCTACTTTCCATCTTACTCCATGGAAATACCTTGGGATCATGTTTCTCGCCTACTGTAGCTATGGAAACAGTCAGCGTGCAGCTCTACTGCATTACATACGATAAGTCGATTCTTCTGACGATAGAACTATTAACGGTATTCTTTCATTATCGTTTTCTGATAACCTCCCAGAATACCCACTGGGTCTTGTGATGCAGTGCTTCTTAACCCAGATAAAATCATTCTTCGTTGTTTATTGTACCAACAGCAGTGTGCTCAATATCTCAGCTGAAAGATTATAAGTTCCAACTGAAGGATTTAGTCTACTTGTCCCACTTTATTCAGAAGTCTTGAGGGTGCATCCAGGGTGAATTCTCAGGCAACTGTAGTCCGAACAATAATTTTACCGTACCATTTCTGATGGAGGGGAGTACGATAGGTAAGTGAGTGGGCAACTTGTTGCCGTAATCTGGTGACAACATGTTGGCTCATTCTCCTTTTACCTTTATCGTTCATTGTTCTGGACCGTCAGCTGCGCAGAGATCTCAGGTGATTTCACAGCTTTCTAATCAATACACTGTCATGGAGTTCTGCGTAGTCGGTAAATAGGGTGACATCGAGCCACGTGCAAAGTGAGTGGTCCAATGAACTGCAACCGCTAGCCAGCGGACCTACTCATTCATACTCTGCGTGACAACAGCCATGTGGCTTATTTACACCTAAGCTGCTGAATTAGGCGTGAGTGCCAAATTTACATGTCAAGAAGACATGTGTGCCATCAGTACACACCAAATCACCTCATGCCAGTGTCGTAAATGAGCGTTCACAATGTGGTGAAGGCAGTTTTCGAGTATTGTGTATCAACTTAAGTGCTCAACTTGTATGGTCATACGGTCGTGATTACCTGTGTTCCGCAGAAACTAAGTTCATTGCAATATGCTCTCAGCAAGTGCAGAATTAGATAAATCAAAGAAAATTCCTCGTATGTACAACAGTGTTCCGTCATTCAGTCAACATCATCGTCCTCCACTTCCGATGAAGTTCCCAATATCTCAGTCGAGTGGCTCATGCTCTAAAAGTAGCGATATTGAGCGCAACCTATTCCCTCACAACAGAAAGTCATGCGAGGATCAGTTTAGTGGATTTTCTGGTTATACGAAATTAGGTTCCGGAAGTTCTTCGGAGCCAGGCGTCTGGGAGACAGCTGGGTGGATACCTGGTGCATCATCTAATTCAAAAAGTTACACCATCTCTTCCGAGCGACTAACGCACAGCAAATCAGAAAAGGCTAGACGTAGACTGCTCACCACACAGAAGGATTCCAGTATGAAGGAGAAATCGAAGACAAAGATTTTGGCACGCAGCAGTGACAATCTGACTTATTCGGGCAGTCCTCAGTGGCGGAAACCCTCTAGAGTAAGTACTTGCACGTATTGCTGTCATTCATTTCTTCATTGTATTTTGAAAATTATGGCGTATTTATCCTATCCGAAGTAGAGATAAAGGCTTAAGGGCCTCTACAAGTCTTCGATACCCTGCATTTTAAACACAATGGTGATCAACTGGATTTTTACAGGTGGACGTTGATTAACTGTCAATAAACAGTCGGACGTTAGCACATAACTAGCCAACAGCATTTGCTGGGGGCAAGATACGAATGTATGTATTCATATTTGAGGTAAATCAAATGACGCTGTGCCAGCAGGCGTGTTTCGGTTAGGGTATTTTGTTCCGTAGACAGAAGTTGTCGCACACGAACCGCTAATGACTCAGCATGGGCCTCCAAACACGAAACATTAATAGCGAAGAAATATGATGAATGGAACAGATGGGAAGTAAAATGTTAAAATGGATAACACTGGTAACCATTTCGGTCTGTGGTTACCAACCGCCTCAGTCTTACGCATTGATATTTATCACAATGAAAGAAGAAGCGTAATAAATTTACGCGCCAACTTCTGACTAGAAAAATAAACACTGCGCGTTACTGACAGTGGGCAGCTCAGTTGTGACAACCCTGCAAATGTTAGCAAACCATCTGCGCAGCCGGTGTACTTTACATCTGGTAAACAATCTACTTTTCCAAAATCTTGTCCACGACTAGAAACGGCCGTTGTAGTACAATGTTTTAGCTATCTTTTGATGGCTACATGGGAACTTTATTCTGAATCCTTTTATCGGGTTACGTTGTAAGCAAACAAAATAGCAGGCGTAAATAATTTGTATTTTATATTTTCGGTTTCATAGACCTCTGGTCAAGGCACCATTTAAATAGTTGGTTATGTATACATTCATTTAAACATATTCGGTGACAGAACCTTGCATGTTGACAGATCAAATTTGATTGTGTTAAGCCAGTTAATGCTACTTCTGCCAGCGGGTTAAAGTGGACGAAACGGCTGTCAGGTGCTTTCCCGGATATGTAGAGGCTGTCTGTTTGAATATGCTACCCTACGGTCAATCGACAGATCGAGCGCTTGATTTCTCGATGGACTACGAACATGAGGTTCCCCGCATGGATCAAATGTTTCATGTAACAATGAATGTTTGGACAAGGACCAGATGCAGTAAACCAACAAACAGTGGCTATGTGAGCTCAATATTTCCCCTTTCACCGATACAACCTGTTCTATGGGGCAGCATGCGGTTTGTGACATAATTAATTTGGCGGCGTCCGTATCCGGATTTGCCTGTCACTGTGACGTCCATGGGGACAGTCACAGGACGCCTGCGCCTACAAAGGGACCATGGGTGGCTTGCGCTGCACCACCCATAGTTCCACCCACACACCCCATATCCAGTGTAAACCCGAAGGAATAAGACCGGGAGGCATGCGGATGGGAGCCACGTTTCATCAACGGAGCCGGCCCACACTCCTTCAACAAGCAGAACAGAAGCATTCCGGCCTAATTGGGAAATCATACACACCAGACGTACACGAGGCGGTGGCTGGACCGTAGCCCGTTCCACACTGGTTGCATGGAACCACTCTTTGAGCCTAGCACCGTCACGAGGACGGTGCACTCCGTCCCCTCCAGCGACGACCAACTGTCTCCTGGAGCCAGTATGGACGAGGTAGTGGGTAATAGACAGGTAGGCACCTTGTCAACATTCACATCAGGCGCATCCACACAGGGGAGCTCAAGCAACATCTACTTCTGAAATGCAAGGTTACTGCTCATCACGCAGGCAAACGTACCACATACGCCGCCTTATTGGCCTGGATTAGTAAATTGAATGGGAACATACTCATGGTGATTCTATTACGTATACAATTGTGACTTCTCCGACACCTGAGAAACCGCCCTTTTGAGCAGTTCACGGAATTCGCATCGATCAAATTTGCCTTGGATTCGCAACACCTGCAATCAACATGAGTTTGTCATAAACTCACCTTCTTCATGTTCTGGTAATATTATTTTCGGTTTGCTCGAATGTCGCTTTACTGCACTAAGTTAGCCGTACAAAAGCGGTATGAGTATCCTCGTCGAATTCATTTGGTATACATATATACATAGATTGGCGTCATCCGTGTCCAATGGCAGTTCGAATACAACATATGCACATGCATTTATCCAAACTTCAGTGTGAGCAGCTGTCACAAACTGGAGAGAGACACATTAGACATCATCATCAATGGTACGACAAACGTGTATGGGTTTCGTTTGGAGGTCAGGCTAACAACCACTTTCGCAAGCATGAGAATAACTACCCAATACGAACTGTTGATGTTTTCTTCAACATTTAGACGTGACAGCCTTACATCTTGGACATCCATATTTGAAGGAACCCGATGTAGCAATAGTGAAGCAACTGCTAGGTAGAATGATGACTAGACTACTGGTACAGTGAAATAGTGTGCACTTAGGTGTTGCCCTCTACATGTACAGTACGAATGAGCTCATGGATGGATTGAACCATTATTCTGCGATGCACCGGCTCTCTAAGCGTCATGCTAGTTAGCATTTTGAGCAGCTGGTCAAGCTACGGTTATGGTGAGTAATACCATGGATTTCACATAGTGATGTGAATCGCGGCCGAATAATACTATGAAGAGGAAGATGCCGTAGCTCACTGTCTCGGTATTTAACCATACTAGACTCCGCTTGAGAAGGTAGCAAGTATAGGATAGCATAGGTCATGATGAGTACAATATCGTAATGCGCAACACATGTGAAGTCATCGCGAAATACAACCGTTCTAGGCAAGTGCAATAAAGATACCACATTGCACCAAGTCAGTAGTTACTCATTCTAGAATACAACTGTACCCAAGCGCGACTTACATGGGGCATATAGAATAAGGATACCATCCAACAAAATGACGGAGATGGCGTAAGCAAGTTTCCAAGTTAGCAGGGAAATGGTGCGATTATGTCCACTGCAGGCTATCCGTGTCGTAAGGTAAAACCAGAACCCGTTATACTCTTCTGTTGTCCGAGGTGAGCGAGAATCAACAGGGAGGTAGAACCACCAGGCAGTCATGTGTTACTATTTATTTCCCCTGGTCATTCGTTCGGACCGCTAGCATATCTTGACCAATCCATCAGTGTCTAGAATACTACCTATGCCCATGCATTTCGATTCGGATATCACAACGTATTGCCGCTGTTCGTGGAATCAACCTTGATGACTTGTCTGAATCTCAGTGCGTTTACCTGAAGGCGGCCGCAGTACAATGGGGCGTATAGAGACACTTGAGATGGGATACATTGACCTCATATTGCAACCCCTAATAAGTCACGGTGTCACACGAGAAGAAATGTAATAAGATCCATCTGTCAAGTGGGAATGTATCGAGACACGAACAGATGTTAGCGCGTTTTGTACTTTAGCCGAGTCCCATTTAGACATCGAGTCAGCAGATCATGGTGTTACGCGAGTGAAGATGCCATCAGTCTGTCAGGCTGAAGTGTGATGCTTATAACTGTTTCTAAATGGCTTCCACTTAGTCATTCAACGTGAGATATCAGTTGACATACCAAAGGTCCTTGGTTCGAGTGACAGTACCTGCAATGTTGCAAACGGGCATTTGTTCACACTTGTGTATGGACTACCACAAACTGGATGAAGAAATACTAACCGTCATGAACCATAGCACAACGTACGTGCATGAGTTTGGATTGAATAAAAGAAGAACAGTCAGATTGCTCTAGTTTTAGAAAATCGCAAGTAGAATTATAAGTAACCAATACGACTGTCAGTGGTTAGTTAGCGTTTGGATGGGAACCGAAACGACAGCCTTCAGTTTAGTCAGAAGTCTGGGTATCAACAATAGATTGAGACAGATATGGAAATACGGAAACAAATGCTGTGAGTATGGTTACCAGGTAGAATGATGCAAAACTAAATGTACTAAATGCACATGTGGAAAAGTCCGCGGCTCCCTGTTCTATCATCGGATTTTGAAAGAGTGTGCAAGCTGTTTTAGCAAACTTACAAGAAGTACCTTGCCCAACATTTAATTATCTAATATCTCTGAAATGAGTATGTCGTGGGACACCTGGGCACGATGATACCTTCACAACGGGATTTGGAATGGAACCACTTAGACATAGCTGAGAAAGCAATGAACCAGTAAATCTCCATACCAATGGTGTGATTTGCAATGGAAACATTGAGCATTGCATAGTTAATCATATGAGGGTAGACAAATAATGGGTATCAAGAGCCTCGGCAGATGGCGCAGATAAGGTGGTTAACTGAACGTATGATATTCCCATGCGAACTGGATTTCTCATCATAATTTTACCACTTACAATTTACTAACAAACTGTCAGCATACATCTGGGTTGCAGCTATGCTTCGCAACAAATCAATTGTTTCTGTGCTGAAGGTATTTTCCAATTAAATATTTATTTATACACTACCGTAACACCATAGTTGGACTAATCTAATTTTAAGTCAATCTAGATGATTGGTCATTTCTAATTTAAATTGTAGGATGAACGTTTGCTCTTCCGCACCTTATCTCCATAATGGCTGACTTATCCTAACTTCAGTATGAGCGATGTTCAGCTGGAAATATAGCTACACCCATTATTGGGACTAATATATGAAACAGAACATGTAGCATCAACATCAGCATGTTAATCGCTAGTCACTGACTTGCCGGGATTATTCAGCTTACACGGACGAGCCAACGTGTGGACACTTGCAACAAAAGTTGTTGGGTCTTGAACACAGATTTTCCAAACTGCATTCCAAAGCGAGGAAGAAGGGTTGTAGAGTACATGAATTCCAGGGATAATTGTTGCTCACTACACCCAGTTGTTCAATCCAATGTACGAACGAGTGTGGAATATTATGAGCAGCAACCGCTTGGTACCCAGGAGTTAACGCGACCCATGTACGCTAACGACGTCACCATTACCGCTGCCCTTTAGGATGGGTATGCTTGACATAATTAGTGGCAAG